TTTTCAAGCAAGCTTCTAACATGAAGGATGACATAGAGCCTGAGTCTGCAAATGCTTGTGTTCAAAAAAACTTTTCCTCCCATGAGACAGTCTGTTGGCTGATCACAAGTCACGGTGCTGGAGCAGGAAAGAATAAATCCCAGACCGTGTCCACACTAAAGGCCAGTCAGTGTAACTGTGGTACAACTGCATTGACTTCAAAAGGGGGCAGTGTTAAATTAATGTTGAGTCCTTAGAAAATATTACCCCATTTACCTTGAGAGCTCTGGGCTCCCGATGGCTTACACCATGTTCCGGTCCTTCGTGGGAGATTTATCAGATATAGAGTAGAAATCTAAAAGGCTATCTGGAACTGGCAAAGTTGGATAGCCTTAGGTAAGTTGGAAAAGGGAAACTTAATTTAGACACCTGACTTGAAGTGCCTCAGTTCAGAAAGAGTATTCCTATAGTCAACAGAGACAAATAATCTATTAGAGCCCAATCCCTCCTTTGCTAATGTGAACTGTTCATACCTACATCTATCCATTTATTCCACAGGGTGCCCAAACAGACAGCCCTGTTTTTGCAAGCTCTAAATCCAAGAAACATAATAAAACACATCTCCTTACCTGCTCTGTGAGGAACTCTCAGGTACGTGGTACATGAAGACATTTCCTCTGGAGGCAGCAGCCCAGTGACTGGCCATGTTTATGATGGGACACGTGATAAACTGGTCACTGATAAAAAAGGAGGAGCAGGGAACAGACACAGTCACATAACAGAAAAAAGGAAAGAAAAAAACCTACAACTAACAGACCTCTCTCTATATTGATAGCCGCCTTTAAATCTTCCAAAACAGCTCATATCTCTGCCTTCAAGCGCACTGAGGGAAACCACATTCACTCTCTATGAACCCAGTACAGCTTAGAATTCACTAGAATTGTTGTTTTATGGAGTGTTGAACAATGGTAATGATACTAAAGAAACAAGATCTGACACATAAGAAGTATCCTGGCCAAAAAACCATCCCATTTTAGTCTAGTTTATGGGGGCCCACACTTGTAATAGTATAAAGCTCCTTCCTTTTGGCACCACTAGGTTGCAATGACGTCTAGTAAAAGGATTTATATATTTTCTGGGTTAAAGATCAATAATATTGTTTCTGCATTTGGATCTGAGTGATTTTTTTGAGTAGAGTTTCCAGAACTGGAAGAAGTAAGAGACCACTTTTGGAGATATCCTGCAGGACCTCTGGCAGAGCTCATCAATGTGGAATATCTGGTGCAGTATGTTTGGGAGAGAAAGATTAAACAAGAAGAGTGCAATGAGATAGTTAAATGATCAATTTATCACCAGGTATTGCAATACAAAGGTATGAGAGAAGCAAATATATCCAGACCTTCCTAGCTTCCATTGCCCCAAGAAGTGGGGCTGGAAGGTGGGGTGAGCAGCAGCTGGAAGGAGCACAAGTGGTTCAAGAGGGGCAGGCAGAAAACAGGACACCTCACTGCAAGATATCTCGTTATGATTCCTCAAGGCAATATTATATACACACATATCACCACTTCTCATTTTACATGAAGATTCAGCACACTCTTTGGGTGTTTATATACCCGTAACTACATGAGCACACACAAACTCTCTGCTGTGGAAGTGGGAGGTTTCAGTTCTCAGTCTACTGAATCTGAAACAGTAGCTGCTCCTTCAAACTTGGTAGGTAAAAAAAGAATGACTGATGGCAAGAAAGAACAGTGTCAGAGAAGCATAAAAACATGTTGCTATATTTAACTGGTATGATTATGAAAGGCACTGTTTGGGTAGCTATCTTGGTTCAGC